TCTAGAGAACCCAATCCAACACAATGACACTGACAGTAATTCCCCACAGTGTAACAGCACTCTTCCCACTTCCTCCCTGTAGTTACCTCTTCCCTGTGTCCTTCTTTCCTATGCACTCCTGTCCCCTGAGCTGTCTCCCTGTGCAAACACTGCCCTTCTGTTCTCCCACCATCGATCGTCCTAAGGAGTGTATCTTCCTGATGTAATGTTCACCCTAGACACCTGTCTATTGTCTGCCTGGAAGCCACAGGAGTGAGTTCAGTTCCAGACCGGAAGGATAACCAGGGGCCATAGTGTCAGGGGTCTCACCAGGCTCCATCAGACCTGCAAACCTGGTCTTTTGCGATTTGGAGGTTTGCTCCACGCTGTCCTCCCACTCGGTCCAGGCTCTCCTATCCATTTAGCGTCACTGTCCTGCTTCACTGCCTCTGTCATGCACTCTCCTTCCACAGTCCCACCTATTTCACTTCCCACAGGACCCCGGGGATCATTTTGAATGTTCATCACAGTGATCGGATTTGCACAGAGTTCATATTGGACTTGTGTTGTGGAGAATTGACATTTGGGGACGAAGTCGATCATGGATTGAATTCTGTCCCCCAAAATATGGGCTGTGAATCCTAACATCTATGCCTGTGACTGCTGAAGATAATTCAAAAGCGGTTGCCGTGGTACCTTGACAGGGAACTGCCAGAAACTGAAGCTGGTTCCAGAAGAAGGTGTGGGATGAGGGATGTCACTGTTGATGTCAGCAGAGAATACCAGAAAGACGTTTGCTGTGTTTCACTGACTGTGCAGAGCATTCGGCTGTGTGGATCATGACAAATTGTGGATGACATCGTGAAGAGTGGGAATTGCAGAACACTTTGTGCTCATGAGGAACCAGAGCAGGGGGCACTGCATGTTTGACATCCGGAAAGGTGTACATCAGAGCTGTATCCTTTCACCTCACTTATTCAATCTGTGTGCTGAGCAAATCATCCGAGAAGCTGGACTATATGAAGAGGAACGTGGTATCAGGATTGGAGGAAGACACATTAACAATATGCCATATGCAGATGACACAACTTTCCTTGCTGAAAGTGAGGATGACTTGAAGTACTTACTGATGAAGATCAGACTGCAGTCTGCAGTATGGATTACACCTCAACATACAGACAATGAAAATCCTCACAACTGGACCTATTGGTTGTTGTTGTTGTTGTTGTTGTTATGTGCCGTCGAGTCAAACCCGACTCATAGCAACCCCTCCTTGGGTTTCCGAGGCAGTATCACTGCGGAAGTAGATTGCCCAACCTTCTTTGCGAGGAGTGGCTGGTGGGCTTGAACCGCCCGCCGTCTGGTTAGCAGGCAAGTGTCTTAGCCAGTATGCTACCAGAGCTCCCCTGGACCTATTGGACCTATTGGCAGCATCATGATAAACGGAGAAAAGACTGAAGGTGTCAGGGGTTTCATTTTTCTTGGATCCACAATCAACACCATGGAAGCAGCAGTCGAGAAATCAGGTGTCGTAGTGCACTGGGCAAATCTGCTGCAAAAGACCTCTTTAAAGTGCTGAAGGGCAAAGAGATCACTTTGAAGGGCGTCTAACCCAAGCCATGGTGTTTACGATCACCTCATCTGCATGGGAAAGCTGGACAGTGAATAAGGAAGACCCATGCATTAGGATTGTGGTGTTGGCGAAGAATACTGAAAATACCGTGGGCTGCCCGAAGAATGAACACATTTTTCTCGCAAGTACAGCCAGGGTGCTCCTCAGGAGCCAGAATGTCAGACTTGTCTCATGTACTTTGGTCGTGGGATCAGGAGGGACCAGTCCCTGGAGAAGGAGATCGTGTGTGATAACGTGGAGGGTCGGTGAGAGAGGGGAAGACCCTCAACGGGACGGACTGACACGGCGGCTGCAGGGATGGTCTCAGCATAGCGAAGATTGGGAGCCTGGCGCAGGAGTGGGCGGTGTTTCGTTCTGTTGAATGTAGATAGGGTTGCCGTGCATCGGAGCTGGCGTGAGGGCACCTAACGACATCGACGTGCCTGTGGTTACAATCCCACTTGGGAAGTCACTGTCTTTATTATGCTGCCATCAGAGGGCAGCATTCAAACAAAGGGAAAGCTTGACAGACAGTAGGGTGTGTCTTGAATCAATCCCTCTTCTGTGATATAAAAGACATTTAAAGGAGCAAACGGAAGCAGCAGAGATGTGGGAAGGGAGCAGCCAAGCCACATGGAGACCTCTCAGGAGACAAGAACCATTCCCTAGAGAAAGACAGAAAGCCTTACCCTGGGCCCCGGGTTTGACTGTCAGCCTCCTGGACCGTGAGAAAAGAGGGTTGTGCCTGCAAAAGCCGCAGACCTGTGGTATTTCTGTTATAGCAACTTGATAACAAGAGCACGTCTCGCCTCAGAAACACTGACCAAAACGCTCAGGATGGTGTGATTTGGCCGAGAGCTTTGCAGTTGTCCTGCGGCACTTCCCGGTGCAGGTCAGTCTCAGGGAACATAATCTTAAACGTACTGCTGCTGTGACCAGATCTGTGCTATTGTTTCCTCTCATTGACTATTTATAGCAGAGCAAATCCAAACCGAATGTACTGCCATGGAGTCCGACCCACAGCGCCCCAGAGGACAGAGTAGAACCGTGCCGTAGGGGTTGCGAGGCTGTCAATCTTTATGGAAGCTGACTGCCTCATCTTTCTCCAGAGGAGTAGCTGGTGGGTTTGAACTGCCAACTCTTTGGTTAGATGCTGAAAGCTTTAACCACTGTGCCACCAGGGCTCCTTTATGGATTGTATGTAAGCGTTAGAAACTGCTTAGTTCTTGGTGGTGAACAAGAGTTACCAACTTCTTGCCAACCACTGGGAAAGGGATCAAAATTGGACATCCTGCATAGAGTGAGAGGAAAAATATGGAACAAAATTCAAAAACACAAAAATGAGCAGAATTACTGGTCAGATAGAGACTGCTGAACTCCTAAGACTATAGCCCTGGGTTATCCTTCGGGCTTGGAAATGGGCTCCTGTCTGTGGATTGGCTCTCAGCCCAACAGTAGAAACACCTGCCAGCAGAACCCCTATCCCAGGACAATGCACCCACCTGCTCTGGGGAGATGCACCCCTCACAGCAACCAGCCAGAAGCCATCAGAGGGCGGCACTCCGACCGAGGCAAAGCCGGGCAGACAGGGATGCATCGGTAAGAAGGGCACAGGGAGTCGTCCCCACGGGGAGGAGCGGGGAGGAGAGTTTTTCTGCTTGGTGATTGTAATAGGGCTGTGAAATCAAATGAGTGAACACAAAACAAACCTGCCATGTAAATTTGCACCCAAAGCACGCGTGAATGCCCCCGTGTGCATGCACACACACACACAACACACACATACACACACACACCGAGTTATGAACTTCATAGTCTTCCTCCACCGTATTTGCATTTCAAACATTTATTGTCCATCCAGACACTTTGGGAGCTTAATTTCCAAACCTTTGAGTTGACGCGTTTGGCTTTTCTTGGAAGGAGATCGTGCTGTCTGCGAGTGACAGGCATGATGTTTCCCCCTGGATCCTGAAATCTCTTATTTCTGTTTCTGATTGACCCTCTTAGAATGTTCTCACGCCGTCTCTGTCGTTGGTGGTTAATCACAGGGCCGTGGCTTGAGCCCACCAGGAGCAGGGTGGTGATGAGGATGGTGAGGTGGTCTGCACTCCGGACATGAACGTTGGTCTGGGACCGTGGCTTCTCACGCTTGTCTCAGGATGGTCAACAGTTCATCCCCGTCTCTCCCCAGTCTGACCCGGCTGGTTATCAGTGAACGGAAAGTGTGGGGATGCTATCAGGCTCCATGTGGGGCTGTGGCTCCCAGATGACCCTTGTGTGGTCTGTCTCCTGTCAGTCAGACCCTGGGACGAAGACACAAACCCACACCCATTGGCCCCATTGGAGTGAGCTGTCTCCCCAACCACCATCTCTGCCTGAGTCTGGTCTAGGAGGAAAGATAAGAGCTTCATCCAGACAAGCAGGGATGGGGACGGGAGGAAGCCCACTGTGCCCACCCTCCCTGAGCCTGGAGACCCAGCCCAGTTTCTGCGTCTAACCCTAGTGCTAATGCCCAGTGTTGGAGAGCTGGCTGGTCTTATGTAGAGATCAAGCTAGTGGTCAAACTCAGCCCTGGTGGAACCCCAGGGTCCTTGCTGCCACCTGCATGGGGTGAGAGTGCAGGGCCCGTCCACCTGCCCGGGCTCTGGTCCTGAGAAGTGAACAGGGTCAGAGTTGAAGACTTTCTGGGCCCCTGGTTGTGGGGTTGGCTGCTCCTGTGTAGGGACAGGAAGACATGGGTGTTTCTGAGATTCCCACCGTCCTTACTGAGCTTCCTGCTTTCCAGGCTCAGGAATAGCTGGGGCTGGAGGAGAGTTTCTGG